CTTCTGAGGAGGGACAGGGTCAAAAGAGAGAATAGAATAAATGGGGGGCAGGATAGGATTAAGGGAAATATAGTTTTTCACAACATGACTCCTATGGAAGTGTTTTGCATAACTACACATGTATAACCTGTACCGAGTTGCTTGCCTTTTCAATGAGGGTGGGTGGGGAGGGAGAAAGGAAGTAAATTTGGAACCTAAAGTTCTAAAAACACATGTTAAAAAAATTGTTTTCACATGCAACTGGGAAATAAGAAATACAGGAAATGGGGTATAGAAATCTATCCTACCTATAGGAAAATAGAAGGGGAAAGGGATAAGAAAAGGGGGAGAGAGATAGAAGGGAGGGCAGGGGAAGGGATATTCAGAATGCATGCCATCTTGGGGTGGAGGGAGGGGCGAGATAGGAAGCAAATTTGGAACTCAAAATCTTGTGAAGGTGAATATTGAAAACTAAAAATAAATAAATTAAAAAATAAAATTAATAAAATTAAATAAATAAATAAAAGCCCTTGATAATCTGGTCCCTAAAAAAAAATACAGTTTTATTGAATGCCTTTTCTTCAAAGTAATTGTGTCTTCTAGCTAACTAGTGCAAGTAAATACACTTGTGAGGGGCTTTTGAGTTATAGTTTTGAGTGAATTTGGACTCATTGAGTACTTTGAACATGAGACAGTTTTCCAGGGGGACCCACATATGAGGCACAGTGTTATCAGATATTTTGTAGGAAAAAGCAAAATTTGAGTCAGTTTAATCCAAAGTCCAAATGCCACTGTACCAAAGTCAAGGTTAGGATTGGGATGGTAGGTGGTGGCATCGTGAAGGTGGAGTGGTATAGTGGAATGAACAACAGATTTGGAATCAGAGGCCCAGTGTTTGAATCTGGGCTCTGCTACTGATTAGCTGTGTGACCCTGAGCAATCTACTTATCTTTTCCAAACCTCAGTTTCCTCATCTGTAAAATAAGGGAATTGGACTTCTAAAGTCCATTCCAGCTCTAAATTTATGGTCCTAGGAACTGTTAAATAATGAGATACCAGTAGATGATTGCTAATACATCAATAACTCCCTAGTTCTATGATTTTATGACTTCCGGCCCAAGCAGTCATAAAAATTCATGTTCACAGTCCCAACAGCCTTCTCCCTTGGTCATTATGTAACACTAATCACCCAGCCATGGATGCATAAGGGCCTCTGTTTCTTGGAATTTCTGAAGAAAACCAGAAAGAGGGGAAGGAGGAAGAGCTAAGTGAGTCATGAGATTGCTGAATATCACTTTTTCACCAAGAAATGTTATCCCAGGGAATAGAAATCGTAATAATGACACAACTGATTCTGCTGAATCTGACAACATTGGGATGCATTTCCTGTGCAAAACATTGTTTTTATTAGACATTTTCACAACATCCCCCAGGATTGGCTTGGTGGGATTAGGTCCCACCTAACTGATAAAGAAACTAAGAAAACCACCTGGGAAATAAAATGAGAGTTATTCAAATGAAAGTGCCAAAGTCTCGGAAAGGTCAATCAAGAGCGTAGGGTCTTTCCTGTTTCTGAAGTCTCATAATATGTAGGATCATGGGGTCAAAGAGTTAGAATAACACATCAGCCCCTCATGTTACAGTTGAGAAAATTAGACAGTTACGGGGACCTACCCAAGGTCACAATGGAAGGGGAACAGGCAGGATCAAACCCAGGTCTTTGATTCCAGATCCAGCACCCCTTTCTCAGCACCACACCACTATTATCTACAGCATTAATCTCAGCAGTTTATTACATCTCATTTGTGACTTTGTCATGGGTAATAGGAAGAGGAATCAGATTTCAACATTTCTAGACAAAAGAAAAATTAAATTCAAAGTTCTGCCCACTTCCCTAAGGAATAGGGGGACAAGCTTGCTGTGGATAGCACAATGGGGAAGAGAGGGAAGATTTCAGAAATACTGCTGAGACAAAGTGTTCTATTTTTGTCTGCCCTTTGGAGGACCCAGAGGGGATATCCTTATGAAGATATGCTCACAAAGGGGAGGAAAAAAAGAACATTCAAAGAAATAGCTGGGAGGAAGGCTTTCAACCTTCTGAAATAAGAGTTTCCTTATTCTCAGGGCCAGACTTTGAGGAGGTAAGTTAGAGGATCTGTGCCTCTGCACATATGATCAAGTAACAGCTTGACTTTATCCTATAAAGTTCCTATAATTATACAATTTATACAAATATTTATTCAAATATACAATTTATAATTATCCTATAATTATACAAGGATCCTATCCTTGTATAATTGTTTCACTGGAATCACTGTTTTACTCTGCTCCTCAAGAATCTTCAATGGCTCTCTATTATATCTAAGATAAAACAGAATTTCCTCAGTTTGATATTTAAAAGGCTTCATGGCCAAGTTACAAGCTACCTTTCTAAGCACATTGGACATTGCTCTTCTCCATGGATTTCAAGTTCCAGTCTAATTGGCCTGCTGGCTGTTCTTCAAACTGAGTGTTTCATTTCCCACCCCCATGTCGGCAGAGTTTATCCTCCTTGCCTAGAATGCACTCCCTACTTACCTCTGCCTATTGGAATTCTTGGCTTCTTGTAAGACTCAGCATATGTGACAGCTCCTCTGGGAAGCCTCTCCTGATTCACTTACTTGTTAGTATCTCTCTCTCTTCTCCTCGTTATTTTGTATGTATCTTTCTTTTTGCATGTTATATTCCCCAGTAGAATATAAACTCCTTGAGGGCAGGAACTATTTCTCTTGCTGTGTGTCCTCTCCAACAGAGTGCAAGGTCCTGGAGGACAGGAGACATGTCTGCTATTTCTTTTATAACATTCAGAACCTCTAACCCAGGGCTCCTTCACAGTGGGGTGATGGGATCATATGAGGTAATGTCTATAAACCATGGTCTGTGGTTATAAATATGAACAACCAACCTGGAAAGGATTGGAGTCCATCTGGGTGATGGACAGTGTGGCTGCCATTTGAAGACTAATCTAACTAAGTTCAGACAGTCTCATCATCAGAAGAATAAACAACAATTCACATTTTATAACAGTGTAAGCCTTATAAATTGCCAAAAACTTGGCCACCCAATGATGATTTTTTTTTGGCTATAACAACCCAAGAAGACCTGTCAGTGCAGAGAGAGTAATCAAACTAATGAAACCAAAGACCACAGGATTTTAGCCCTGGAAAGCAGCTTTAGGAAGCATCTATTTACCATTATTTTATTGTATAGATAAGGAAACAGTCTATGAGAGAGGAGGGGACTTGATCAAGGCCACACAAGTTATATGTGGCAGAGCTAGGATTTGGACCTGGGTTTTCTATTTGCAAATCTAGGGCTGTTTCACAAAACCACAATGCTTTCACTATTTTGAAGAATTAAAATCTAAGGTGTATGTGTCTGTGAGTACGGGAGGGAGGGAGTATATAGTGATATTATAAGTACACAATAGGTACTCAATTATGGAAGGAAGAAGGGAAAAGGTATGTCTGTGGGTGTGAGGGATGGAAGGCATGTGTATAGTAATATTATAGGTACACAATAGGTAATAATACAAGGAGGGAAGGAAGGAAGGAAGGAAGGAAGGAAGGAAGGAAGGAAGGAAGGA